ATGAAAAACAGAACAGCGAAATGAAACAACATCATTTATAGGTAAACATGTTTATTCGTGTTGCTTGCTGATTTGCTTTTTTTCCTTTTGCTCTCTAGATTCAACCTCTCTAGCCCGTTCGATAAAGTAAAATGAACAACGAAAATAACGAAAATGAACGTACATTTATCGAATCTCGGCGCATTGCAATGTGACCAACCAACAGCAGCAGCAGCAGCAGTAATATCAAATCCATAATATCTTAAATGACGGCAACGACAAACAACAACAGCGACTCATTGCTCTTGGTCAAATGAAACCAGTCCGAGTGTAAGTACATATTCTCATTCATAGAATTGTCGATGAGCTTGAACATACATATCGTCGCAAATAAAAACTGGAAAAAAAATCATCACTTGACACGCATTAATGGATTCATGTTTAAACGAAATGGAACGTGACATGGGACGTCGCTTTTTTCTCTCCTCTAGATCATTTTGATTCTTTGGGTAATTGTTGCAGTTATGGGAACCAAATGTTCTCATGGGTTATTATTTACAGTAAACAACGAATTTTGCAAATTGAACATTCCAATCATGAAATTAAAGTTAAATCATCTTCCAATAAATTCTGCCAGAGTTACTCTGCTGAGTTTTTCCACCAAGATCACCATTTTGCCTGACCTCTTTCTCTCTCTCTCTCTCTCTCTCTCTCTCGCACACGCATTCCTTTTGTCATGAGACAAATTGCAACAGCAAAAGCAACAATAAAATTAAGAAAAGCAATTTCATTTTGCTTGCGGTGATGTCCTCAAATGATGATTGCCGCTTATCAAACGAACAAATTTTCCTGCCGATTTCACATCACACCGACCGTTTCCAAGAATCTTTTAATTGTAATGGAAACATGCATGATCTTTTTCTGCAGTCAAATAATAAATGCTAATTATTATCCATTCCGTTGTTTTTTCTCTCGTTTGTTTCAGTTCTCAGGTGCTGTGCTGTGTGCGTTGTTTGTGTGCATTTCGTTGTTGCTGTTCAGCACCCCACGTTATTAGAGAATCGTTTGAGTACATTTATTTACTAATTTATTGTTTCATTTTTCTTGTCGCTGTTGTGACTTTCTCTCATTTGTTCGGTTCACTCCACTGACATTCCGATAACATGATGAATTGAGTATCGGTATGAGCACTCTATGTCTCGGTGGAGATAATGATGAAGATAGCAATCTGTGCAATGCAATGCAATGCACAGCAACAGCTAATGTAAATACAATAGACTTAGGTGTCGAGAACGGAAACTTTTTGATGTCATCTCAATGAAAACAATCAATATTTGAACTGAGTACCACACACTTAGACTGGACATCATCTCAGACACGAGATCTCCCTCGCGCGCTTATCACAGCTTTTGAGAAAATGAAAAGACGAGAGGGAGAGAGAGAGAGAAATACACACAGCAACATCACACAGCACATTTCAATGTGCAACGAGATAAACTCAACCCATGCAATGATTATACAATGGTAATCAAGATGACATAGAAAAATAGTGCGCAACTTACTTGCTGTGCTGCTGGGCAAACAGACGACTTTTCTCATTCATAATTATTGCAAGTTTGAACGAGAGCGAATTGTTCCACAAACCAATTTTGCATTGAAAATGGAAAACTTCGATGATGCTATGAGAGAAAGAGCACACGAACGAACGAACAAGCCAACGAAAATCCATGTGAGACTTTAAATTATCTGAGTAAGTGAGTTTGACGGAATCTCAACGTTTAATGTATTCATTACTTTCAATTAAACCTTTGCTTGAGGTGTAAAACCGAAGAGTTGCACAATTTTTCCATAACATTTAAGTATCAGGGAAGTCGTTCGTTCGAACGAGCAAGCAAAGGAGCGAGTGAGCGAACTGACGAACAATAAAAAAAAAGTGGCAAGCATGGAATCTCTAAAAGAGTATTAATATCTTTAATTTCAATTTTAATTCAAGTCAATCAAAAAAGGTTCCAATGTCTATTAGTCGACGGCCCGTTCACTACTGCATTGTTCGGTTGTGGAATGAAAACCCGGCAAAGTCGCAGGTCAAGTGTGTAGTCGCGCGAGCGGACAAAAATGTTGTGTTAGCCATGTGCTGTTGTCATCATCGTCGTCGTCGTTGTCGTCGTCAAACAGCAGCAGTTTAGAGACAGAGTATGTGTATGTTGTGTGCGCGCTAGTTTCATGCTAGAGAGCGTAAAAGAAACTCAAAATGTTGCAAAGTTTGCCGGGCATGGATTAAAATTTTAAGTAGTCACTTCGTGATTTATTTTTGGTGTGCTTCTTTGCCTTCAACTCACACACATACACACAACAGAAGCACAGCAAAATCCATTGCAGTTTTGCGGTGCGAATCGACTACCGCTTCGAGCTGTGTTCGAGTAATGTGTTTCGTTCGTTCGCTTTTTTTTTTGCTTGCTCGGGTTTTGTCTTGAAAAATTGTATGTATATCAATAAAGAGAAGAGAGTACCGGGTCCGGGCTACAACAGTACACACAAAAGAATAGACGAAATTCATAGCACATCATCACATTGGGCTCTGTGTTTGGCATATTAAAACGAAAATGCACTATGGTATGTGTGTGTGTGTGTCCCAGCCCAGCTCGAGACACCGAAACACTCGATTCGCACATCGACTGCCGTGTACACTGTACACCACAAAAACAATGATCGGAATTACGTGCAACAGTGGAGCGCAAACAAAATCGTGTTACATGTGGTAAGGCGATAATAAAATAATATGCAAATAGCTTGACCTTGTTATTGCTTTCTTTGGATAAAATTTATGCCCGCTTCAAACGCCAGTCTATATGCATATGTGTGTATGTACAGTGTACACTGTGTGTACTGGGTGTACTGGGCATATACAAATGGATTTCTTTCTTTTCGTATACTCGTGTGCTTAATTTACAGAATGCAGTTGAGAATCAATTATTATTTTTCTTACGTTTACATTTTTAAGCCAAATATTTGCATTTCTCACTCAACCATCGACCGGTTCAGTCTTTCTCTTTCTCGCACACAAACACTAGCATGGTCAGTGCATGGTGCCCGCATAGCCGTGTGAATCATTCATCGTCAGCTCGAAATGAGCTGTCAAGCACAAGGAAAATTCATAACATATGATCAATTTGCTCGGTACTTGAATAATGATTGTGTCGAGGATTTCGACTGATTTAAAAGGGATTCACATTGAAAATTAAAGTTCATTCCAACACAGAATCGAAACATACACACTGCGCATATGGAAACGAATGTCGTAGACATTTGTTGGTTGATTACTTCGTTGTTCTCATTTCGTTCTTTCTTCGAGTCGTTGTTTTGAGCTATCACTACAACGCATATGCTAATATTCAGTTCAAATGTCTTTAGTCCGATGTAAATTCATTTAAAACAACAAATCGAATGACATTAGGCGACGGGCGATGACGACTACGTCGACAAATACACACACGCATACCAAAGCAAAACACACACACACACATTTCAGCACTACTTACTTGACCTAATTTCACGCCTTTGATACCAATAAAAAATGTTTATGATGAACACAACAATTGTGGAATGGTATGAACGGTGAGGGCAACAGCGAGGCAGCATCATTCAGATTATGTGGTCAATTAAAAGCCTAAATCGTCAATAGTAGTAATTCGGACATAAAACCAACACATAGCAAAAAAAAAAAAAAAACCAACGACAACCACGACAAGAACGACGGCCAAATTCACGAAGTCATGCACACGAAGCCGCAATCAAATTCAGAGCCTACGAAATAGCCATTTTCTTGATGTAAAACGACCAGCAAAAAGAATAAAAGAAAACATACTAAATTACACAAATAAAATAATCAAATGAATTTCACACAACCGTCATAAAAACCGCCTGATATCTCAAATATACGCAACACTAAAAATACCAGAGGAGAACAGCAGCCGTCGAGAATGGCATTTTTTTTCTCCGATTTTTCTTTCGTTTTCGGCTATGAGGAGATACGAAAGGTGAATTGAAACAAAAATTTTGACGGCATAATGGCAAATTTTACGCCAAATGAATTGGACGAACGCCATTAATCGGATCGCTTCACGAATAAGTGATTAAATTATATACGAATTCTGGTGTGTGTGTGTGTGTTCTTGAAAAGTATGTAAAAAATTTATGACTTGGCTTCATTTTGACGCGATTAAAATGTGCTGGTGTGTTCGTGATCGAGAAGGGAACAGCAACAACGAACAGAAAAAAAACAATCATAGAAAAATAACAAAAGCGTCAACGGCATCGTTAGAACCGTGAACAACACAGAACAAGAGCGAGACCGAGAGTGAGAGAGAGAGAGAGAGAGAGAGAGAGAGAGAACGAAAAAAAGCGCATTGCTGGCAAAATAAAGCTAGCTCATCGGAATGGCGAGAGCATTGAAAACCGAATTATATATACATAGGTAAGTAAATTGTTGTTTTCTCACCGTGTGTACAGGCATTGTGTTTGCACGGGTAAAAATTATGGGAGTCTCGTAATCGCACAAATCCAATGCATATCCATACAAATACACACATACAGAGAGAGAGAGAGAGAGAGAGAGAGAGAGAGAGAGAGAGAGAGAGA